ACTGGCACACCGTACACCCTCAGGGAACCTTCTTTGCTGCTTTTACTCCAGTCCATCCGTGTTCCGACATTAAGTGCTGGCCTGGACACCCTGGCATCCTCACTTCCGCCCCTTCCGTGTCACCCAGCGGGACCTGGAACCCTTGGTGGGTGACCAGGGCGCCACTGCCAGTGGAGACAGCTCTTCTTGCCCTCCTGATCCCTGAGGGCTCCTGAACCACAAACTTCAACTCATCTACAAACAGTGGGTCCCCATGCGGCCACGCCCACCTGCGGGGCCCACTGCTCCCTGACCACAGCTTTGCAGACCATGAAGTCTGCAAAGGAAGAGCAAGGGCCTGCACACGAAGCCAGAGTACAGCAAACATTTCAAAGCATCCCTGGAAGAAGAGACCTTCATTCATTCTCTTCAGAACTACAACCATGGAAAGAGCACACATTAAAAACACAGGACTCTTAGAGCGGCCGATTGTGAGAATTCCCTGGGTGGAGAGGCAATCAGAGATGCCAGCCAGCACCACGACTGCCCAGCGCGGACTTCGCCGGCTTTTTTTCCCGTTTGGGGGGATACCAGGAATCGAACTCAGGACCTCACACTTGCCAGGCAGGTGCTGCACCACTGAACTAAATCCCCGGCCCACCCAGCACTGACTGACCCAGAGTCCCGGGCCACTGCTCTTTCCTCGCCGTGGAAGAAGATGGCAGGGAAAGGGCACCAACTACCAAGGCTGAATTGCTAAATTATCTTCCTTTTTCCCATTCTTTATTCCTCAGGGCCTCGCACCTTAATTATGAATTCGAGAAAACCTCTTTAGGGAAAAAAAAACAAGTGATCTTGATTCTGCAGGCATGAGCAGGGCGCTCTTCTCCTGACACTTTGATTAGAAGGCAAGAGGCTGGCTGGAGGCTCCACCTTCATCCTCAGGAGGTCTTTTGTTTTTTTGTTTTGTTTTGTTTTTTTGCTATGAGGATGTTAATTTGTCAGTTGCAAATGTCATATGAATAATTCACTCTTGAGCAAAATAAAATTAATGCAATGGTGGACACATCCACAGCCCATCTGTGATTCTTGATAAAAGTGCCAAAAAGCACTTGTGCAGACAGGTCAGCCTCTCCGGCACCCAGCTGTTGGAAACCTGGGTCCCCACACACAGCACACTGAGGCTCTGTTGCTCCCAGTGTAAAAACAAATCAGCTCAAAATAGAACAATGACCTAAATGTAAGGCCTGAAACTCTAAAGCTACTGGGAGAAAATGGGAAAAACACTTCCCAACACTGATACAGACAATAATTTTTTGGTTATGATTTTAAAAGCACAGGAAACAAGCAAAAATAGACAAAGAGAAATGCATCAAACTGAAAAGCTTCTGCAAAATGATATGACACTCTACATAGAAGACCCCACAAACTCTACTAAAAGACTTCTAGATTTAATAACCAGGTTCAGTAGCATAGCTAGAGATAAAGTCAACACTCAAAAATCAATAGCATTTATGTGTACAAACACAAACTAACTGAGAAGAAAAATAGGGAAATCACACCAGCATTCAAAAACATGAAATACTTAGGAATCAATTGAACAAAGCCTCCAAAAACATGAAATACTTAGGAATCAATTAGGAATCAATTGAACAAAGGCACTCAAAGATCTATATGTTGAAAATTACAGTACTCTAAAAAAGGAGGTTGAAGAGGAACTCAGAAAATGGAAAGGTATTTATTGCTTATGGACAGGAAGAACCAACAGTAAAAATGGCTATACTCCCAAAATGGCTATACAGATTTAATGCAATCTCAATCAAAATTCCATTAGCATACCTCACAGAACTAGAGAAAACACTCCTAAAACTCATTTGGAACCAAAAAGACCTAGAATAGCAAAAACAACCCTGGGTAGCAAAGGCAGGGAAGGAGGCATCACAATTCCTGACTTGAAATTATTCTATGAAACTACAGTGATAAAATCAGCATGGTACCAGCAAGAAGCAGACCTGAAGATCAGCGGAACACACTGAAAGATGTGAATGCAACTACAGAGACATTCAGTCACCTTGTCTTTGACAAAGGGGCCAAGCATGTTCACCGGACAAGGACAAGCTCTTTAATAAATGGTGTGGGGAAACTGGCTTTGCACATGCCAAAGACTAAAACTAGACCCATGTCTATCACCATGCACTAAAGTCAAGATAGATCAAGGACTTAAATGTTTAAGCAGAAACACTAAGTCTACTGGAAGACAAAGTAGATAAAAATCTCAAATACTTAGGTATAGGCAGAAAATTTATGACCAAAACCCAACATGCACAAGAAACACTTCAAAAAATCAACAACTGGGCCCTCATCTTATTAAAAAGCTTTTTTACATCAAAAGAAATCATCAACAGAGTGAAAAAGACAACACACAAAGGAAAAATCTTAGCCAATTGTCCCTCAGGCAAAAAATTTTACATAGAGTGTATAAAGAACTGAAAAAACTCAGATTCCCCAAATACAAAGACGCAGTCCAAAAATGGGTATCTGAGATGAACACACACTTCTCAGGTGAAGAAACACAAATGGTAAATAAATACATGAAAAAATGTTCAACATCACTGGTTATTAAAGATATGCAGGTTAAAACAATACTGAGATTTTCACTCCAGAAACAGTAGTTATTATCAAGAAATTAACCAGTAACCAATGCAGAGGGGCTGCACAGGAAAGGAACCGTCCTCCACTGTCGGTGGGAGTGTAGACTGGTGCAACCACTGTGGAAATCAGCATGGAGAGTCTTCAGAAGGCTCGGACTCGAGGTCCCGTTCTACCCTTCTTCCCCTTTTGTGTATCTTCTCAGAAGAATTAAAGGCATCCTGCCATGGTGATATGTGTGCACCCACTTATAGCAGCACAATTTGTATTAACTAAATCTTGGAAACAACCCAAATGCCCATCAACTGAGGAATAGATTTTTTTAAATGTGGGATTTTTATACAATGGAGTACTATTCAGCCATTAAAAGGATAAACTTGAGACTTTTATAGGTAGATGGATTCAATTTGAGACCACACTCACAAATGAAATAAATCAGACTCACATGTGTCAACACTGTATCCTTTCCTTTGTGTGAGAAATTGAAAGAGTAACTTAGTTCTAAAATGTACAACAGATACCGTGAAATGGGAAGAAGTTGTTTAAAAGGAAAAAGGAACCAAGATGGACGAGGGGAAGGAATAAAGGAAGAGGAAAAGGAGAAAATGCAAGCTAGCTGCACTGTTAGCATCTCTCAGTTCACTGACAAGAAAGGTTCCAGCGGTCTGGTCACAGGTTCAGAGGATAGCAGTACACGTGGGACGTGTAGGGGGGTCTCCTTCTGAGGCTTGTGGCCATTGTTCATTCCCTACGGTCTTGTTTTGAAGTTCTATATCGTTTCCATTGTTTTGTTGGGTTGGGTTTGATTGTTTTGTTTTCTTTGATTGTTATATCCGATGGCATGGGCAGCTATTTCAAAGACAGCGGGACACATTATGGTAGCCATTTTGGACTTAGCGGCTTGCTTTGAAGTCGTTTGTTGAATTCATTTCTTGTCTTTATTGCTTTTATTCTATTCTGTTCTGTTTGACTTGTACTATGTCCAGTGTTATCTGCAGCCATTCTGAAGACGTCAGAAGGCATTATGGTAACTATTGTTGATTTTATAATGTTTTGAAGTCCTGTATCTCTTACACTGGTTTGTTGTGATTGGTTTAGTCTGTTTTACCCTCTTTGAAATAAAATTTTAAAAAAGAAACTGAAGGTTCATGCTATATCAACTGGAGAATCTTTTATGCCCATATCTTGTACTCTGAGTAACTACTTTGAAGATGACAATACACAATGTATTAACTTGTTATTTTCCTAGCATTGTGTTATGAAATTCTGTTTTACATTTTTTCAATTAGGAAAAAGTATCTAAACGCTTCTGCAAAAGGCAAACAGAGTAAACACACAGTCTACAAAATGGGAGGAAATATTTGCTACGTATGCATCTGACCAAGGACGAATCTCCAGAATTTATAAAGAACACAAGAAAATCCACAAAAATAAATAATTCAACTCAAAATGGGAAAATGAGCTAAATAAACACTTCCCAAAAGAACTGTACATGGTCTAAAAATATTTGAAAAAAAAGCTCAGTGTCATTAGCTATCAGAGAAATGCAAGTTAAAACTACAGAGATACCCTCTCACCTCAGTTAAAATGACTGTTATTGTTTGTTTTGAGACTCTGTAGTGCAGGCTGGCCTTGAGATCCTCCTGCCTCAGCCTCCCCAGTGCTGGGCTCACAAGCGTACATCCCCATGGCTGGCTATAGAAAGGCTATTATTAAAAGGAGAAACAGAAAACCAAATGGCAGCCCGGACGCAGAGAATGGCCACTGCTGTGGACGTGAAATTAGCACAGTCCTTAATGGAGAACAACTTGGTGGTTTCTTTAAAAGCCAAAACTCTATTTACCATATTGCTTGCTGTGGTGCTGAAGCTGAGCCTGGAGCTTTGCCCCTGGCAAACGGGACCTCTGCCCCGAGCCGCGGTCCCAGCCCTACCCCTGCCACGTGAGCCACGTCCCACTGCCCTTGCTCATCCAGAGCAAACCGGAGGAGCGGACCAGCCAGGCACCTGCAGGCCCACGCGGCCGTAGCACTTCCCACAGCAGCCAAGATGTGGGAACCCTGAGGTGTCCACCAACTGGTGAGTGGGTAAAGAAAACACGGCAGGTACACACAATGAAGTATTATTCAGCCACAAAGAAGGCTGGCAAAACTGGTGGAAGGGGAAGACATCACAGTAAATGAATAATAAGTGAGACACAGGAAGGCAAGTGTCCCAGCTTCCTCCCTGCATGACAGCTTGGGACAGCCACGCTCCATGTAGACTATTGATTCCGGAGGTAGGGGAGGGCGGGTTTCACTGGTAGACGTGTTTGCATGTCACACTGGACTTCATTAATACGTACGATTAAAATGTATAAATCAAAAGAAAGCAGTTTAAGTGAGACAGGATTTATTGACTCACGTGACAAGAAAGGTGAGGAATTAAGCTTCAGGCCTGGCTGGATCAAGCCCTCAAAGGAGACCATGAATCTCTCTTCATTGTTCTGCTCTGAATCTGCCAATCGCAGCTTCCTTCTTAGGCAGGCTTCCCTGCCTGTCACTTATCTGCACCGTGACTGCCTGGACTGGGCTTCATCGGCTCAGCGTGTTAGAGCCGTGGAAGCTGAATACACGTGCAGGGCTGTGGCATGGCCCGGGCGTGGCTGAACTGAGAACAAGAAGACACCTCAGGGGGTGTCTCCAGGTAGGGGGTGTGGCCAGGTAGGCCACAGCTGAGGCCGCCTGGAGACTTCCGGGATGGTTTTCCTTAATTAGCATCGTCTGTCGCTCTGAGGGGTCCTTGAACCCCTCCCAAGGTCCTGCTCAGGTTTCCTGCATTGTCCACTCAGCTCCTCGCTTGTTCTGATAAATACGGGCTGCCTAGGGCCTGGGGATTTAGCTCAGCAGCATAAGCGCCTGCCTTGCAAGTGTGTGGTCATGAGTTCGATCCCTGGTACCTATAAAAATGAAAAAGACAAAAAAAAAAAAAAAAAAAAATCAGTAAATACGGGCTGCCTGGGGTCAGCTGGCCGCCGGCTAGCAGAGTTAGGAGCTCTGCCGAGGATCTCAGTCCTCCTGCAGCCCTAAAGACCGGGCCACGTGTCTCATTCCTTTGAGCCTTTGCTGTCCAGCTGTTTAGGTGCCTGGGGGTCTAGGCACAGACTCCAATGCCAGCAGTGGCTTCTAACTTGTCCCAGGAGGGCGGAGTGGGCTGCTTCTGCCAGGGCCAGGCCATAGAACTTCCCACGCTGACATCCAGGGGCTCCCTCTGTGTCGTCAACACTGACGCTGCTAAACCCAGGCAGCTCTTAGCACCCACACTGGGGTTACAGTGGCTGAAGACCTGAGTTTGAAATTTTATTTAATTCATCGGGATGTAACGAGCCACACGTAGCCAGCACCCACCACACTGGGCCAAACCGCTCCCAAGATGGCCAGGTGAGGTCATCACTGCCCCATCCGGCCAGCAGGGAGTAAGAACAGACAAGGAGAAGGGAGCTGCTGACCCCAGAAGGCGGGAGATGCGGGGTGGCTCTGAGGCCACTGCGGTCCTCCCTGGAGTGTCCAAGGCAGGCTGAGGCTGTGTCCATCAGGGACCATCTTCAGCTCCTGGGGCAGCAGCCAGAACGTGCTGGACAGACACTAAGCAGACTGAGTCCCGCGTCCATCTGTTCCTAGGACGCACATCAGATCGCGCTCTGCTCTCCTCTGTCTGGACTTGTGCCTTTGAAACTCTCCAAACCTGCTAGCTCTTCCCTAGGAAAAGGTCTCAGGGTGAGGGAAGGAGAGAGAAAACCCAAACAGGTTTTTCCTCCCTCTGAATTGGCATACCAGTCACAGGGAGATAGAATTAGTCAGTGAGCTGAGACGAGAACATTCTCTCCATTTCCCGGGACCCCCCCACCCCCGGCACCCTCATTCCCATCACAAGCTTTATCGCTCACTGCTCCCACCCTGGCACATGCACCAAGTTGGATGGAAACCTTGGCTTACTGCATTCCCTCCGTGGACCAGCACCGGTGGCCACAGATCTCCCACTTGGCTGGCAGCAGGAGAGGAAGCAGTTTTTGTGAGTTTGGAGTGTTGGCCTTTTTAAAGTGATGTCAGCGAGTTACCTCCACGCATGCTCTCCGTAAAGCTGCTTCCCGCATCACCGCCGAGGAGCCAGCACCTCCCCTAATGCTTCACCCCCAGCTCCGGGGACTCTGCCGCTCCCCATGCTGTCATAGGGCCCTCTCTTCTTGCTGTGCCTGAACCCGTCATTGCGGTCATAGTGACTGGCATTTCAGTGCCCTTTGCATCTTAGTCACTTCCCTACCACTGGACAACATACCCGACACCCACAGCTGAAAACACACAAGGCTGAGTTGGCTCGGAGCGCTGAGAGCAGCCCGCCCACGGTCAGCGGGCTCCCAGGCAGGGAGGGGATGGCGGAAGGGTCTGGGGGAGGCAAGCTGCTCCCATCAAGGCGACATGCTCAGCGCGCACAAGTCCTGGCTATGCACAGGCAGATGGAAGCACGTTGTCTTCCGATCTCATGAACAACGCGTGGATGTGGCTTGGATCAAACACACTGATGAGGCTCCAATGCAACGGGGCCAGGGTCTAGGGGAGACATCTGGTTCCATGACAACAGACCAAGCTGGCTCAGACTGTTCAGGAAGGACAGGGGGCCAAGTGGAGCGTGATGAGGAGAAGAGCTCTCGAGCTGGGATCAGAACCATGAGCTGTGATTTTGCAGGTGTGAGGACATTCTCGGCCCAGGAAACAGTTTGCATGAAATTATAAGGCAGAGAAAACCATGCACAGCTGGGGACGGGTGGAAGCTGGGAGATCAGGAGGAGAGTGCAGGGGGTGGAGGCTGAGGCAGGGTGGGGGTTTGCAAGTCCCAGAAATTGGAGGCACGCTGAAGTTTTAAACCAGTAGGAGACATGAGGGCCCTGGGGCTTGGGCTGGAACACTGCGGCTGCTGCACTGAGGAAAAATAATTGGAGGAGACAAGGAAAGCAGAGCACCAGCAGGAGATGCGCGAGAAGCTTCAGGAAATGCATCACAGGGGCTCAGGCAGAGCTGCTGGAGTGGACTCAGATGTTACACTGGAGATAAAGCCACTGGCTTTGGCAGTGGCTCAGATGCTGCAAGTGAGGGGCACAGAGTCTTTCAAAAGCCCAGAGGTTCGGGTTCACACACTCGGCAGATCCCGGGCCCATTCCCGGGGGAAGAAGCACTGCAAAAGAGCCAGTCTAAGGGGACAAGACATAGTCAGTAGGCGTGCAATACTGAGCTCTCCACGTGGGGACGCCCATAGGGAGCAGGCGGCTAAGGACTTGGAGGAGACCGCACAGAGGTGCACGCCATGAGCTGGGCGCTGCAGTGGGAGGCAGCCCGGAACCACAGAGAGGTGTCTGCCTGTGAAGAGGCGGCCAGAGTCAGCCGGGAGGAGCCACCGAGCCTCCCGGTGCAGAGCCAGAAGTGGTGGCCGAGAGCTGGGAGGCAGAGACAGGAGGATCACAAGTTCAAGCTCGGACTAGGCAACTTCACAATTTACGGAGACTCTGTCTCCAAAACAATAAAAGTGAAATAATGAAGGGCAGGAAATGTAACTCAGTGTGCAGGCCCTGGGTCCAGTCACCAGGATGGGGGGGCAGGGACGTGGTGGAGAAGGTGGGCTTGCACAAGGCTGGGGCACAGCTGCCCAGGGATAAGAGGAAAGCCAGGAAGGCAGGCAGGCTGTGCGCCCTCGCCAGGAGGGGGCTCCACGCTGCCACGCTCTGCCCTGCAGGCAACACTGGCTACTCGGGAACACGCACCAGGTTTGATGACGAGAAGATCGCACTGCCCTTCAAAGTAAGGAGCAGGGTGGAAGCCCAGCATGCAGACGTGAAGGGTAAGGCAGAAAAGACTCCAGGAAAGCACTACTGACAGCGATCTCAAGAACTTCAGTGCAGGGGAGGGGCCACAGAGAGATGGCCCAACAAAGAGCTGAGGGTTTTTACATGACAGAAATAAGCAATTACTGACCCAGGTCTCCACTCCTCTTTCCCCAAGACAGCAGTGTCTTAGGGCCACAACTTAGCATCTGTTCAGGCGCCCGCCTGGAGCACACCACGGGGTGGGGAGAGGCCAGGGCTCTTCATAGGATTTCTCGTAAGTGTTCACTGTGTGACTCTCCAGAAAGGACGTCCTAGCCGGGCATGGTGGTGCACTCCTGGAATCCCAGCACTCGGGAGGCCGAGGCAGAAGGATCCTTGCAAGTTTGAGACCAGCCTGGGCTACAAAGTGAGCTCAAGGCCAGCCTGAACCGCACAGCGAGACCTTGTCTCAAAAAAGACAAAAAGAAAAAGTGAAATCACATGTATTACAGTCCCTTTTGCTCACATTAACTGACAAGTAAAAGTATTAATTTATGAAGTGAGGGCGATGTTTGGAGGTACACACATGTCACAGAACAGCTAAAGCAAGCTATTACGCATTTGTGCTAGCGATGTGTGACTGCCATCCATTTAGGACACAGAAATACAGCTGTACAAGTCCGTAGGGTTATATCTACACACCAAGAACACACCCCTTACAAGTGGGCAAATGAGTGACTTTTAGTGAACTTACCAAGTGTACAACACTGTAACCGCTTCCAAACATTTCCCTAATCCGATGAGACCCTTGTGCCCACTGATAATTAATCTCTGTTGCATCTTCACATTTGAGACCCCCACTGACCTACGTTTTGTCCCCATTGATTTACTTTCATGTGTCTTTCTGATAAGTAGTAGCGTGCAATCTGTCATCTTTTCTGTCTGACTTCTTTCGCTCACATAAATGTGTCCGGGTTCGTTCACACCGTGCGTGTGTGTCAGCACCTCACCCTCTTTACTGCCGAAACCAAGCCCTTCACCACGTCTGTCTGGTCGTTATTGGACAAGCGTGGACCGTGTGCACTTTGGAACATCTGGATAATGCTGCCTTGGAGAGTCATACTCAAGTATGTGTGTGAGGACGGTTTCCTTTTTCCAAGTGGATAGGAGAAGAGTTCTAGATCACACGGTAAATCTGTTTCACTCTTCAAGCAGCTGCCAGACATTTTCCAAGCGCACTTCCTGCTGCGTGCCTCGAGGCTGTGCTTTGGGTCTCGTGTCAGTGCACACAGGTGTGGTGTGAGGCACCAGTGTGCAAAGATGCATGAGTTGGCTCCCACCCACACAGCCTCGTAGCTGATTCAGTCGCTGGTACAGTCACGGGCTAATGAAATCCCTTCCTTTGTAAACTAACAGTAGATCTGTCAGCGCTTCTCGTGGTCACGGCTGTCTGGGGTGAAAACAGAGCCGCCCAAGGCCCCGTGGCTCTGAGAACACCTGACGGCCTCCGACCCAGCACAGCACGTGGTGCAGAGCCGGATTGGTGAGCACCTAGACAAGAGCTAGCTAAGAGCCTCCTCTGCTAAAACGCACAGAGTACCTGATACGCCACTGCTGAGAAGTCAGAGCCAGCCTTATTTTCGAAGATTAATTCAGCAGTATAAAATAGTCCATGCTAGGAGAGCTTAAATAAAGAGCTATTTTCTTACACACAACTAGAAGCTGGAAGGCAAGCACTCCAGGGCTATGACTGCCTCTCCATAAAGTCAGCAAAGACTTGGGCTCCTTCTAGATTAAACCCCACATTCACAAGATTTGATGTTTACCTTCAGACCACAAAGTGGGGGATAGAGCTCCAGTTTTCGTATCATTGTTCCAGACAGCAGGAAGGAAATAGTTAAGAGCAGGAGAATCGGTACCGGTTGAGTCTGCTCGCTGGGTTGGTTCACTGCCTTCTGGAAGGCACTCCGAGACTTCCCTGACATCCACTGGCCATGTTTGGGCCATGTGACCGCCTCGTTTGCACAGAAGGGTGGACCATGAGAACACGCTGCTGTTCTGATAAAATAGGGTTCAGTCACGAGGAAGGAGAGGGGAGGTATTGCTGGACACCTCACAGTCCCAGCTTCCTGGAGTGAAAATCAAGACAGGGAAAAGGCCCCTCAAAGAAGCCCTGCACACAGGATGGCGGCGCTGTGGGCTGCAGTCTGGATCCCCAGAGGGACTTGGAGACACAGCACTTTATTCGGAAATTTACACCAGGAAGCAGTATACAGGGTAAGGCAGAAGGAGATGGCTGTGGAGGAGAAGCCAGGGACGAGGCAGGTTACCGAGGTCGCCTCGGTGGGGCTCCCAGTTCAGAGGACGGCTAAGAAACTCAGGGAGCCCCGGCCACTGCCAAACCAAAGGGCAGGGGTGCAGGGGTTCTGTTTTCTGGCTTTAGTTTTAATTGAAGATTGCTCCTGGGGCATACCAGAGACAGACAGATAGACAGACAGACAGACAGAGACAGAGAGAGGCAGCTCTGATCCAGAATGTGGCTGCAGCCCTGAGAGCCGGACCTTGGCGCTGAGAGCTGAATCTGAGCTCACGGAGAACTGAAATCAGCAGTCAGCCAGCATCTGCTCCTCGGGAAAAGCAGCCGAATGATTAAATCCCATCGAGTATCCTAAAATCACCATTGGCCAATGCCCTCTGCCTTCACAGTGTATGACTTCTAATTATGCAGCGTTCTACATGGGATTTTAAAAAATAATTCCCTCAAGATAACATAATGCCATAAACCTTAAAATTCACCTAAAGTATACAACTCTGCAGATCTTCATTTATTTTAGTGTCTTCCCAGTGGCCAGGGATGTTGAATATTTTCCATGCACTTGTTGGACATTTGATGTGCCCTTTGGTAAAATGTCTATTCAAATCCTTTGCTGCCTATTTTTAAATTACACTTTCATTCTAACTTACACACAATTGTGCATACTTAGGTGCCCGGGGTGAGATTTCAATGCATGCACACAACGTGTGACGATCAGATCAGCTGGCGGCCTCTTTTCGTTAAGCTATTTGGCTTTTTTATTATTCAGTTGCAAGTGTTTCCTGCTCGTTCTAGACAAGCCCATTATCGAATATCTGACTGGCAACTATTTTCTCGCCTCCTTAGGCTGTCTTCTCACTATTTTGGTAATGTCTTCTAAAATGCAATTTTTTTGAAGAAATCCAGTTCATATTTATTGTCACATTCCTTTTGGATTTGAGAGTGAGGAAAGTGCTGAGCCCTGGCAGCTTAGCAGTGGGGAGAGGGGGGCGGTCACCCGGCAAATGAAATTCAAGGGCAGCTGTAAAACACAGTTGACATTTAAGCTGGATCTTCAAAGATAAGAGGCGTACACCAGGCACAAAACTGAAGAAGAGCTTGTCGGCTGTGGAGAACATTGGGATGGATTTTCTCCTAATCCACGGTACCTTCCTGCTGCAGTTAACTGTAACAGATTCAAACCTGGATCCCTGCCAGCACCGTGTGGTCAACACCACAGAGCCCGGCCCATCTTGTGGTTATTAAAACAAGGCCCACGGCTTACAGAAGATTCCATTAAAAGGCAGCGCTGCACCTGCGCGGCCTCCAGTGGACCCGGGAGAGGGCTGAGAGATTAAACCTGCTCTCGCGAGCAGAGACACTGGTCGGAAGGGACAAGTCATCCGCTCTCCCTGCAGGACACTTGGGGCCAGGATGAAAGCCAGAAAGGCTGTCTGCACCCAGCTCAGGCCACGCAGGGGCAGGGAGAGCCCTCACAGTGACGGTCCCCACATTATCATGCAGCGAGTGACACCCGTGTCCTGGAAACCACTGGCCACGGCAGTATCAGTTCACCTCTGGGTGCTGTCAGGGGTGACCAGAAGTTCCCAGAGGATCAAGACTGTGCTTTCCTGCAAGCCAAGGGACAGCAGTTTAGCTTTAGAAATCAGATTGCACCGCTGACAATAAACCGGAATGGGATCTCTCAGGCCCTCGGTGAACACGCTGAGGTTCGTATTCAAGTGCGTTTTTCTTTAAGCCAAGACTGCTGAACCGTGAAACTGGTTACAAACACAGGAAGGCATGAATGTCCTCCCAGCTTTCTCTCCTGATTTTGATATCTTTTGTAATTCTTGTCAATCTCACTAGAAAAAAAAGTATTGAAATCTCATTTTTATTTGCCTTTCCCTGACCTCCTAGAACATCTGTTCTTAGGTTTATAAGCCATTTGCGTTTCCCTCCCGGGGAATTACTGTTCCTGTCCTTTGCCCAATTTTCCTGGAGGTAATTTGCCCTTTTCTTATCAATAACAAAGTGTTCTTTGTATATAAAACAAAGTAGTCTTTGGCTGTGGCATACGTTTCCATCCCGTTTGCCTCTGGACTCTGTGCATGCTATTTCTTCCATACTAAATTTAGGGCTGCTCATCTTAACAAGATCTCTCTCCCCGCTTAGAGTCTGTAAGTATTTGAAACTTTCTTCTGCTTGCATGGGCATGGTTCTGCTTCACACACAAGTGTACATGATAAGAAGCTTATGAATCCACCTGCAGTGTGTGTGTGTGTGTGTGTGTGTGTGTGTGTCTGTGTGTGCACGCGTGTGCATGCGTGTATAGGAGCAAAGGAATCTATCTGCAGAATCAAATCTAACATGAATTAAGCATTGACTCGGAAAGTGATCAAATCCTGCAGGTCACTGGACAAATAGCTCCTCAGAGCAGCTCCTGAGAGCTGCTCCTCTCAGCTCGCCGGTGCAGACGCGCCTTCTGGCCTGCAGAGGGCGCCAGTGTGCTTCCCGAGCTCCCGCAGAAACCTCGGAACCGGACCCGCTGGCTGACGCTCAGGCAGGTGCCGGTCGCTCAGTGGTCCCTCGGCTGCACTGAGGATGAAGTAGAGACCGCGGACCAAGGTATCAGACCTGAGTGCTGCCCCCCACGTCCAGCGGTCGGCACCACGCCCCCTGCCTTGCTCTGAGCTGAGCTGTAACTGTAGCAACCAGTGGCGACCGGACGTGTGGCTCTGGGTGGGGAAGAGGAGAGGGGTCGGAGGAGCGATCAGAGGCTTGCGCTGCTGCTCCGGAGACGCGGAGGAAAGTTCCCCCCTCTTTCTCTGCCACCCCTTCTCCTCCCAGGTAAGAACAAGATCCGAGCCTGCCCCGGCCAGCCTCCAGCTCCCCTGCGCACCAGCAGCTCCCTGGTCCCGCAGGAGCCCGGCTCGCCTCGGCTATGAACACGTCCTGCTGCCCATCCTCTGCCCACCCGATGCCACCTAACAGCTCCAAGCTCCCGGCTCCCTCTTCCCTCGGCAACCAGAGCAGCGGCGGCTTCTGTGAGCAGGTCTTCATCAAGCCCGAGGTCTTTCTGGCCCTGGGCATCGTCAGCCTGCTGGAGAACATCCTGGTCATCCTGGCCGTGGTCAGGAACGGCAACCTGCACTCGCCCATGTACTTCTTCCTCTGCAGCCTGGCCGCGGCCGACCTGCTGGTGAGCGTGTCCAACGCCCTGGAGACCGTCATGATTGCCGTGGTCAACAGCAACGCCCTGGCCCTCGAGGACCGCTTCATCCAGCACATGGACAACATCTTCGACTCCATGATCTGCATCTCGCTGGTGGCCTCCATCTGCAACCTCTTGGCCATCGCGGTGGACAGGTACGTGACCATCTTCTACGCCCTCCGCTACCACAGCATCATGACCGTGAGGAAGGCCCTGGCCTCTATCGTGGGCATCTGGCTGTGCTGTGGCGTCTGCGGCGTGGTGTTCATCGTCTACTCCGAGAGCAAGATGGTCATCGTGTGTCTCATCACGCTATTCTTCGCCATGGTGCTGCTCATGGGCACCCTCTACGTCCACATGTTCCTGTTCGCCCGGCTGCACGTCCAGAGAATCGCCGTGCTGCCGCCAGCCGACGGGGCGGCCCCGCCCCAGCGCTCCTGCATGAAGGGCGCCGTCACCATCACCATCCTGCTGGGCGTGTTCATCTTCTGCTGGGCCCCCTTCTTCCTGCACCTCATCCTCATCATCACCTGCCCCACCAACCCCTACTGCATCTGCTACACCGCCCACTTCAACACCTACCTGGTCCTCATCATGTGCAACTCGGTCATCGACCCGCTCATCTACGCCTTCCGCAGCCTGGAGCTGCGCAACACCTTCAAGGAGATTCTCTGCGGCTGCAACGGCGCCGCGAACTTGAGGTAGGGCGTGGGGACCGGGGGACCAAGCGGTCAGCACAGGGCCCCTTTGCCTCAGTATCCAGCAGAGGTGTTTAGACAGGGTAAGAAAAGGACCTAGAAGGTATGAAAATGTGTCAACAGCCACGATGGTTTTTTAAAAGAGAAAGTGACAAGAACGGGCCCCCAGGAGGACCCCAGAGTGGTCAGTCACCTCCGGTCTCCTCGTGGTCACTGCAGACAGCAGCGAGTTCCCCGCGCCACGCCAGGGCTTGCAGTGCCCGCCTGCTCCTCCACCTCGCACCGCGTCCCTCTGCTGTCCGGGCTGCGGATGCTCACGAACAGGAAGCTGGCTCGAGTCCCCTGCAAGCGAACCTAACAGCTCGGCCCTCCGCCTGCAGGCTGCCCAGGTAGCTTTGTGCTGCTTCTGTGAAACATCGAGCTTGCAGCCTATGACTTGATTCACAGGAAAACGACAGCCTCAAAACAGCGAACTCTTTGTGGGGAAAGCGATGGGATGCTGCTTCCCCGCTTCTGACTCACCAGCCCTTGCCAGCTTCCAAAACAGCACAGAGGGGTCCCCGCTTCCCCTCTGCTGCTCTCCTGGGGTTAGCGCAGTCAGTGAAGGCAGCCTGCAAAACCCACCGAGGAAGGGGAAATGCTGGGGGTGACCAGGACGTTCGCGCTGTGTTTTGTGTGTGAATATCTTGCTATTCCACGGGTTACCTTACAAAAAACTAAAAGATATTTTCTTGTTCTTCTTTTACTGCCTTTAAAACAGGAGAGGAACTGGCGGGCGGAGGGCTGTGTGTATACTTTCCAAGAAGCCCTTCCACTGTACTTTGAGAAGCTGCAGAAGTGGGACGAGGCTTTCTTGGGAGCTCCTTTCTGCTCGTAGTAACTGTGTCTCCATCCCATAGTTAAGCCAACGGCGCTGGTGAAAGAATGTTTTCTGGCTCGCTGCTCCCTTGGCTCGGCATGATGCCCACGTTGTGGGACGTAGTTATCAACATTCATGCTTTTGTCAGATAAAGCAGCTTCCTCCCGAGCAGAGGGTTAGGGTTCTGACGACGCTTCGGGGTCCTCTGCCCGGTCCTTTCCTGGCCTGGGTGTCTTTCATTTGTGTAACACACAGCTCCCCGCTGTGAATTCTTCTTCTGTGCTGTGTCTTTGCTGTACCATCGTGGCTACCTTTTGCTGAGCACACTGGGGAGGGGGCGTGCTTACAGAATGTCTGCATTTGGTTCTTGTGGATTTTTTTTGTCCCTGAAAAATTTCTGCTCAGATAAGCAAAACCACTTGTTTCTTGTGATGCTTGGAAATAATAAAATGCTTTCGTGGCTGCTAAGCTTGTGTTGAGCTGTGGCCCACAGCTGGAATCACCCTGAGGTCTGCCCATAGCTGCTGTGTGTTATATTGAAGCTCAGGAACTATTTCAGAAATGGAATAAATAACTCCATCGATGGGGCGGGCAGCCTTTTCTAGGGCAACGCATTTTAACCAAACAACCAAAACACCCGATTTAGTTTCCAGAGTTACCAGACTTGTGGTTCCTGTACCACGGCCCCTCATTATGTTAACCCCGAAGCCGAACAGGAAAACTGCAGCAGGCAGCTCAGGGAACGCGGAAAAGGGGACCCACTGTCCTTGAAAACTGCATTAACGTCTATCGGGATGATGGGCTCTTTGCTCCGTGTAAACAGAGAAAATTAACTTACGTTTCTTCTCTTCATCTCAGTTTTCAGATTACTTCAGTTATGCTCTCATCAACCTCTAAAATAGATGTGTCATCGTATAGATGAGCACTTGTGGCTGTCCTCAAACGTCCAGGGGTCGGGCTGGCAGCACATCCTGTGTCCTGGTGCTGGTGGCTTTTTGTACCACGTGCTGCCACCAGCAGGTTTCCAGGATCCCAGTGCATCCAGCTCTCCCTCGGGATGTGCCAGCCCCCACCCCCACCCCCGGGGTGCCCCGGAGTCAGCAGAGCCCTGCCCAGGACACGGCGTGACTCAGCAGGTCGGAGATGGGGCCCCAGATTCTGCACCACTGACTGAAGCGCCTCAGGAAGGGGCTGCTGGGCTGAGGACTGTCTTCTTCTTTCTTTCTGCTTTTCCTTCTTTCCTTCCTTTTTCCCCACCTTGTTACTGGGAATTCAACCCAGGGCCCTACACATGCTGGGCAGGCACAGTATTCCACCTCTGAGCCATGCCCCAGACCTTTTAATTTTTTAAGATAGGGTCTCACTAAGTTCCGCAAACTGGCCTCGAATTTGTAGGCAGGCTCCTCCTGCCTCAGCCTCCTGAGCAGCTGAGATTACAGGCATGCACCACTGCTCTGGGGCAGAGAACCACATTTTAAAGAGGTGCTGGCACAGAGGACTTTGGAAGGCGCCTGATGGATGCACTTATCTGCAGCGACTGCTGACCCCACGCCAGCAGCCCACAGGCACAGTGGCTGGGACCCTGCAGTCGCCCTGCAGTGTCGCTGTTCTTTATTTCACAGATGAAGCATCTGAAAACAGAGACAGGTGAGAAAACTGGCTTTGGGAATCCAGCCGGCCAAGTGGGTAAGGGGAGCTTCGGACTCAGGCTGCCCGAGCCCCTCCCTCTGCCCTCAATCCAGAGCCTCGAATGCCCCTGTAAGCATACTGGACAATGTGGGGGGACCCAGGTGGCCCTGGGGCACATGCTGCCCTGCTGCTGGGTCTCTGCTGCTCGAGGCGCCATGCAGATGTTTGCGGCATGGTCCAGAAAGAGGTTACCCAGATTCAGAGGCAACCATTCCCTGCTCTGTTCTGTTCGTTCTGTGCTAGAATTGCCCTGGACACTCGGAGGCTGGGGGGGAAGCATCAAAAACTAAACTACAGTCTGGGGACCCTTTTCCTGGTGCCCATTTCTCAGGAAATTTCCCTGGGAGCTGGGCTATCGCCGCCTCCTCCCCTGCCCCTGTCTCAGAAGGTGATGGGGAACGCACTGGAAGTCAAGCTTGAAAATGCAACGTTTCCCCTCCTGGGGGGCCTGGGTCAAGTAACATGCGCCTGGCGGCTGCAGGCCCCCTCTCTGTCTCCCTCCCTCCCCCTCCAACAAAACACATTGAAAATACTCAATTCAGGACATAAAAGCACACAACAGCGTTCACCCGCATGTTAAGTTCTCACCTTGCCTCCAAGGCAGAATCCCTTGGCCCCTCGTTCATGGGTGCGAGGAGTCGGTGCCCGTGTTCCTTGTGTGAACTGGCCTTTCAAGGTGGATTTCAACGGCATTAAGAGAGGCTGGGAGCTCAAATACACACAGGAGCCACTCCTGGGCCAGAACTGATATAGGGGAACGAAACTCCCCACCTACTGTATGTCGGGTACAAAAAAATCAAAGAATGGGTTTTAGGAACAACGAAGGTTAAGAGCAGAATATATTTATTGAGAGAAAGAAAGCTTGTCTGAGAGAGACAGAAGGGGTCCCGAACAGGTTGCCAAGGACTCTCTTTTCCAGGGACTTTGTAGAGTAAAATTATGAGGTGAGAGGGGTCTAAAGTGGGAAAAACCTGGGAACTTGCAAGGTGGGCATAAGGTGGGACAGAACTGTGGTTAACCAATGAGGTTAACTGCACAGGTAAAGCTGATTAAATCGGGGACAAATGGGGAAGCGAGTTAGGTAGCAACACATACACACAGAGCAGTGACTCTTCCCTAGGGGCTGGGATGCTGACTCCTGGCTTCCTCAGGCGACAGAGACTAGTTAGAATATCAGGCCCTGACGTTTATCCGAGGGTGCATTTGATCCTTTGTCTTGAGGCCTGGCCCACGGCAGGAGCTGCCTGTCTCCCCCACAGTTGCAGGGTATCTGGGCTTCCGCACTGGCTCCTTGAGGACCAGCCCTGTCTGACCACCTGTAATATTTCTACCTGACTCAGCTGCCTGCAACAACTCTTCCCCGCCTTTCACCTCAGCTCCGCTGTGCCCTCCACATGGCAGCCCCAGCCTGCACAACTCATGTAAAACTGCAAAGCAGAGCTGGTCACACGCTTGCTCAAAATTCTCCAGTGTCTCCTGTCACATTCTGAATAAAATCCCAGCCACTCACCTGGCCGCTGTCCAGCTCTCCCATGCACATCCCTCCTTGTTTATGGAGCTCTGGTCTGCTGTGCTCCTGCCCCAGGACCATTGTATGTTCTGTTTCCTCTGTCCAAAGTCTCTTTCCCCATCTTCCTGGGATGACCAACTCCTTGATTGCACATTCTCCACCCCAAATCCCAGGAGAAGCCATTCCCCACTGTTATCTCTAAAAACCTTGGGCAGTCCTGTCAGCATTGTTTTTATCACAGATCATACTGCTATTAACATACTTTTTTGGCTTGTTTGATTCTCATCAATCTCTCCAACTAGAGAGCAGTCCCTGGTAAATAAAACCAGTCAATAAAAATGCGTTCAATGCATAAGTGACAATTCACATATTTAAAATGAGTTCAATTCCAAACCAAGACAACAGCAGACACAGAGACCTTCAATCTGGTGAGGACATCAGGCGTGGAGCTGAGAAACTGCCCTTCCCCTCATCTTCAGCACCAGGGCTCAGGGGTGGAGTCTGGACACCTGGACCTTTCACTCAGATTGTGACACACACCCAGCCCAAGGAGCCACCTAAACCTGCAAGCAATCCTCATCCTTAAAAACACCAAACTCAGCGCCCCAGGAGCCAGAAGCTCCTCCCTACCTCGCTTCCCCCTGCAGATGCCACCTGCCTTATGTGACTGTGGGGCCCTGCAGGAGGCGGCGGTTCCAGAAACTGGCAGGAACCACATAACAAAATGCAGAACAAACAAAAATAAAAAATTCATTCCACTGAAGAGCTCTGGGTTCTGCATCTGAGAACACCTTTATCGGACTGAAATTAATAAACGGTGCTCTCCAGGGCTCGCTTACGAGCAGACGCATATTATAACTCCTCTAATCCTCACCGAAGCCCCACAAGCTAGATGCTGTCAGCGCTTGCCCTGGAGATAGGGATCCCTGGGTCAGAGTGAGCAGGTGAGAGGGGGTGAGAAAGTGATCGCCAGCCCTCTGGGGTTACGGCGCTTACAGTGGAGTTCTCAAATCAAGGTGCATCTGGATTCCCAGGGCGCCCCATCTCTGGAGTCAGAGACCCGGGTTCAAGCCCTGTGTCTTCTGTTTACTCTGTGATGATGACCGAAATTCAACTTTCTCATCGGTAAAATGGGACACGAATAAGTATGCTGCAGCAGTGGTTCAAGGCTCGCTTAAAAAGCAAACAAGAAGGCTGAGGCAGGAGGATCATTGCAAGTGCGAGACCAGCCTGGGCTCCAAAGTGAGCCCAAGACCAGCCTGAACTGCACAGCGAGACCCTGTCTCAAAAAGACCAAAGAAAAAAGCAAGCAAGAGTTGGAGATGCAGCTCAGACCACTCACCTAGTGTGAGTGTTTGTGTCCGGACGTCCCCAAAGCTTTATGCGCCCACAGGTGGGGCTTCAGACAGTGACCGGATCCTGGGGATGTGATACTCAGCAGGGACTTAGTTTACAGCTGAATTCGGTTTGGGAGGTGAAGCCTGCACAGGCAGGTGAATCCCAGCAGGCCATGGCCTGCAAGGGTCCGCTCTCTCCTCCTCGACCTCTCTCTGCTTCCGGCCTGCTGTGCCAGAAGCAGCCTCCTCTGCCATGCCTGGCTGCCCAGCTGCCCGGCTGCCCGGCTGCCCTGCCTCAGAGCTGACTGTGGACTGAAACCTCTACAAACTGTGAGCCACGATAAACCTTTCTTGCTTTAAACTGGGGAAACTGGGCATTGTGTCTCAGTGGTAAGGAAGTAACCAAGACGCCCCTAAGTTAGTGTGAGGCCAGGTTTCAAACCCCAGTACCACAAAAAGAAAGGAGGGAAGGAAGCAAGGAGGCAGGGAGAGAGGGAAGGAAAGACAAAATAGAGTCAGCACAAAGAACTCTCATAGCACCTGACCCCCGCCGGGACCCAGCCCCCTCGGCAGCTTGCCCTAAGTTCTCCACTATGTGGCATGAGAGGCTGTGGGATATGTCACTGGCCCCTATGTCTTGATGTACTTGTGAAAATCCATTAAGCTGTATTATTTGCATATTTTTATGAAAGCACCACAAATGCACAGACCGGTTCTTAGGACTTCGCTGTCTGCCACATTGTTCTTTCGGTCACAGCAAGACCACGATTGCGCTTCCCAAAGGCGGTCACCTGAGCAGATGTAGAGCTGTGGCCGGTGTTGTGGGCTCCCCCAAGCAAAGAAACACAGCACATTTCACATTAAACACCTCAGTAAGCAGCCCACACGCGCAAACCCTGCCTGCATGGGCCCCTGGCCATCAGCTGGCTGCG